GAAAGACCTTGGGGTGTCACAGATATCTGTTCACCTAGGATTGTCTTTATTTTGAAAATAAATTAAATGGAGTTTTCAAAACAAGATTAACAATTTTTCGAGGCCCTTCGTGTCACTGTAAATGCATTATGTCACTCATTCCACTCTATTTTGTTCTTAAAATGTCTGTCTGTGCAGTAAATTGTGCAGTCTTTGAGGGCAAGGTCTGAGAATAATTCATCTCTTCTGTGGAGACCAAATGAAGCACAGAACTAAAAAAGCTTTGAAAACACAAAGAGTAGGCAAAAGTATTGAAACTTTGGGAATGTCTGAGATAAATGATTTTCCTAAGTCACCAAGAAAAATTCTTATACTGAGGCTCTTAGAATAGAATAAAACATCTTTATTTGAATCCATTCATATGTGTTTTTTCCAAGTGATCACATGTTAATATGTTATTAATTTTCAAACTGTGGCATGAAACTAATATATAACTGGTGTACCTGTTATCAGTGCATGTTATTAATCTGTGCTGCATAAAATATGTTGGTCTATTAAAAAGAAGAGAAGGATGATAGGATTTGAAAGATAATAGAGAAATTAAGTGACATTAGTATATAAGTATAGTACTAAATATGTAAACTTTGTTAAGTGATTATCAGAAACGTGCATCCAGAGAAACACTTATTAAAGAATTTTGAGGAGCTGGGATTGTGGCGGAGAGGAAGAGCACTTACTTTGCATGCATGAGGTGCTGGGTTCGATCCTCAACCCCACATAAAAATAAAATAAAGATATTGTGTCCACCTATAACTAAAAAAATAAATGTTTAGAAAAAATAATTTTGAGCATCAGATAGATTTGGAGGTGAGTGATAAATAAAAAAATAAATTCTAGTTTCATGATTTGATAAAGAATGTTAATTGTGAAATAATAATTTTACATTTTTGAACCTAGAAACATAAAATGTTATTTTACATTTAACTTTTCAATTAAAAATATTTCACTATCTGTCTATGATTATATTTTTCAGAAACCACATTTGAGAATTACTTCCATCCAGTGCTATGTGTGTTTACTTCTAAATACTCATTTTTTAACTGAGGCTGGCATGCGTGTCTTCATTTTGGGGTAATTTTACCTTTAGATATC